AAAAGATCAATGTACTTCTGTTGTGGCTCTTTACTTTTTACCAAAGAAAAATATTTGCAAAGCACTTCCCATTCTTTCAACAATGATAAAAAATCCTCTGCCATTTCATTTCTCACCTGCAATGTAGAAGAAACTAAGAAAAAAAGAAGCATAATATAGTAGAATATCAAGTCGAATTCAATCGTAGAGGTATACCTCTGTCTCGGGGTGATTGAACTTTACACTTTCACAAGCATATTGATTTATATCAACTGCCCATTTCTACCAAAAAAGAAAGAACAAGGTAAAAAGAACTATAAAATAAATGTCTTTTGATTAGTTGTTTTAAGAATTTATAGCAACGTACCGTGACTAGGTTCACCCCGGACAAATTGGCCCCTAAGCACAATCCAGTCGACATAGCCCCACATCCTGAATACAAATCGAGGAGTGTAACGTCAGGCTTACAACGTTGCTGTGCTTGAGTGACATCCCCAATTTCCGAGTTCACTTCACAAGCTCCATTGGTATCAACCTCGGAAGAAATTGTCGATGATGTGTCACTGCCAATCCTTTTCTCACCTACAAGTTAAAATATACACAAAAACTATAAATTCTCAAGACTTCAGTTGCAATTGACGGAACATGTTTCCATAAATTAATCCTTTTACAAAATTACTTGCTGGCAGTTTAACGAACGTAGAATATGGTAGCAAGTATAACATGTCACAGTGGAAGTCACACACTGGAAGACGCTTTTTCTTCTTATCCGTGGCCATCTGAAAAGAAAAACAAAATTAGCCTCACGTTGTAAGAAAATTCTAAAACATCGACTGGCGTAAAAAATTCAAATCCGTACAGTTAGAGGTATTCTAGCTATATTTAGCTTCCTAACGAGACAATCCAATGGATTATCGTCTCGAACTTCTGAAAAGAAAACACGCTTGTCATTGATGAGATGAGCATGGTCTTTCACAACCTACAATGTATCAAACAAAATCCAATATTAGTGAGTCATCATACTAAACAAATCTGAGTAAAATGTAATGAAACTGCATCATGTTCATCTTACAGTATCTTTAGCTCTATAATACCATTGTGCAGTGAAATATAGTTGTCCATCAACAGCCTCGAACATTTCAACAATTCTGCATATATAATCGTCCTCCCCATCCTCAGCCTAGACAAAATTTTCGATGAACAATTATAATAAGAATCTATGCCTAGAATTTATTAAAACAAAATCCAATAAACTTGACTGTTAATCATACCTTCACATGGGCATCATCAAAGAGATTATAAACGATATTGTCGACTTCAGCCACTGAATAATGATGCAGAGCCTGGACTGCGTCGACAGAGTCGTCCCTATAAAATATCAAAACATAAAGGTAAGGAGAAGGAAAAATAAAACTGGCTAATCTATAGAAAGCATCAAGTCTACGCAAGAAAAACACGCTCTTCAATAAAAAATACGCACTGCCATCCTTCTGACATTTCTTTTTTAGATTATTCTTAATTCATCGAGCTATAATTAAACGCCCTTGGTGCGCAAATGGCTTGTAACAAATAACGTCAATGAATGATGAAAAAATGTTGTTCCATCCCCTTTTGAGATATTTGATGTAGAGAAATAGAAAAATTATTAGAGATGTGGAGAGCTCTTGGAAGGAAGTTTCTACCTTGGCTAGGTTTACTGCCTTCTTCGGGTCTCAATCACAAAGAATTGCAGTAATTATCGTGTCTCTCGTTCTTACAAGTCAGACCATTTTGCAGTCTTGTTTTATTGCTTGCTTCCTCTACCTTGAACTTTTCTTCATTGAATTGCCCTCATGTATTTTTTTCATTTCTTTTCATAAAACTAGTTTTTAATTAAAAAATAAAATAAATAGAAATGACAAGAACCTATATAATTGAATCTTGCATGTCGATATGTATTCTACAAGCATATAGTTATTAGCAAGAGTCGGATAGTCCATAAATTAGACAACCTTACTCGAATAGGATCTGTTCTATAGGCTGTGCAACCGTGTGCTTGAGTTCTAAAGATAGTCCATAAATTAGTGACATTACCTCGAATTTTTTGCCCCAGCTACTTTCTTCTTCTGGAAAAATAGATAGAGAAAAAACGATGAGAGTAGATATGAGCTAGAAACTAAACTCGTTCGGAATGAGACATCACTGTGAAAATCATGAAAGCAAACTACCAAATCACACTACAAAGACTAAGTTCAGTCCATAAATTTGTTTGGTTCTGAACTGTTTTCTGCTTTGTAAATCATAATGCCAAACAAATTTCTGCCCAAATTTGTTTAAACAAAACATTTAATACTCACTTGAAGCTTCAATCGTAACCCTAACTACTATATCCCCAAGAACAAATACTCACCTCACTTCAACTCCATCCAATAATCAAGATATGGATTCACTTCCCTCACTATTTTTTTATAGCTAAAGACCTTTGTTAAGAACAAACAACCACAGATTCTTGAAATTCAGCAACATGCAGCAGGAAAAAACTTCTAATACTCAATCTAAGCGCTTCCTCTCACAAAATACCTAAATCAAAGAAGATCGAACACAACAACCACAGCTTGTTGAAATTCAGCAACATGCAGCAGGACAAGACTTCTAATACTCAATCTAAGCGCTTCCTCTCTCACAAAATACCTAAAGCAAAGAAGATCGAACACAACAACCACAGCTTGTTGAAATTCAGTAACATGCAGCAGGACAAGACTTCTAATACTCAATCTAAGCGCTTCCTCTCACAAAATACCTAAAGCAAATAAGATCGAACACAACAACAACAGCTTATTGAAATTCAGCAACATGCAGCAGGACAAGACTTCTAATACTCAATCTAAGCGCTTCCTCTCACAAAACACCCAAATCAAAGAAGATCGAACACAATTACACCAAAACTCCATACAACATTATCTCATTTCCACATCAAGTAAGATTTCAAGGAATAAATTTCAATTACCTTTCCCTGATACCGCAAAGGCCACCGCTCCCTGGCTTCATTATCCGGAATGTGAGGCTTCACAAACCTAGCCCCAGTCTCCTTCTCGTCGTCGTCAAGCTCTGCCTTCACCTTCCTGGTCTGAGTCTGAGTCTGAGTCTGAGCCGCCATTTTAGGGGAGAGAGAAATGGGACTCGAACCATCTCCATTGAGCTCGGCTTTGAGCTTCTTGTTAGGGGAAGAAACATCAGTGTCGGGCTTAACGGAGGTGGGAGTGGCGGACTTGGAGCGGCGCTTGGCGGGCATTGTCGGAGAGGATAAGAATAATCAGACAGGGAACGGCGGGAAAGGGAGAAAAAGGGCGGAGGAGAGAGATCAAAAATGGAGTAGAGAACAATTGAGAGAAGAAAGCCCCTTTTTATAGTGTCGGGGAAAGGGAAGAGGAAAAGGGGGCAAGATTTCGAAGTTGGGCGGGAAGTGGAATTTTTTTGGATTTGATTAAAATGTGTCAGAAATGGGTTATGGGCCGAGTGAACCGTTGAGTCGGGTCGGGTTTTGGATCCGACCCTGTGTCAGTAATGTGACGTATATGTGTCTTCTTATTTTTAAGTGTGGTCGGTACCCTTGCAAGGATACACTTTGACATAAAGTTATCTAAAATGTTTTTTTTTTAATCATATATATATAGTATATAATTTTAAATAATAATTTGTGTGTGAAGGGTAATTTGGGAATTTCACTTGTGGTTGTGTTTCAAACCATTATTAGTAGTTGGATATCTTTTAATCATCTTGTTTTTAAAAGACACATCTGGATAGTTAAACGAGATGGTCGGTTATAAAAGTTACATAATTAAATAAGTTTTGAAAATTATTAATAATATAATTTTAAAAAAAGAAATATAATAAAAGCCGGTAGATTTTGGGTACATAACTTTTTTGGACCAATCCAAAGTCAGGTTGGTTGAGTCAGTGATTTCAGCCATAGAATTCAAAATCCTATCAAATCCTCTATTCTTTCAGTAGACCAATGGTAGTCTTTCTATGATGAGTTGAAACTCTATTTTTTAGATTTGTCAGACTGACTCAGTAAATGTCTGACTCCTAAGCCCAATTGAATTTTTAATTTTAAAAGCTGTAAGTCTATTTTTAGATTTGTCAGTCTGACTCAACTAAATAAATGTCTGGCTCTTATCTATTTTTCAGTGGAGTTAAGTTGTAGTATTTTTAGGATGAGTTGAAACGCTACTTTTAATTTGTCAAATTGAGTCGTAAATATCTAACTCCTAAGCCCAGTTGAAATTCTATTATTAAATTTGTCAGACTGACTCAACTAAATAAAAGTCTGACTTTTATGCCCAATTGAATTCTTAATTTTAAAAGTTGTAATTGACTTTTAGATTTGTCAGACTGACTCAACTAAATAAACGGAAACCAATAGAATTTGTAACCTTAAAAGTTGTAATTTTACTTTTAGATTTATCAGACTGACTCAACTAAATAACAGTCTGATTCTTATGCTCAATTGAATTTTTAATTTTAAAAGCTGTAACTAACTTTTAGATTTGTCAGACTCAATTAAATAAACGTCTGACTCGTGAGCTCAATTGAATTTTTTTATTTTTTTAAAATTTAGTCGGACAAAACTCAACTTTTATGATCTGAGTTCTCAGAGTTGTCAGAGTTAGTTAGGTTATTGAATCAAAAGAATAATTTAGCCTTTTAACCAATAAGAAGTTTATAAATTTCCGGATTGGTTGATTGGTTTGTGGAATTTCCACGTAATTTTATTTATTTTTTAATTTCATTACAAATTTTTTTTTTTAATTTTTTTCACTCAGAAACAAAAATCCACGTGGTAGAGTAACCTCGTCATCGGACAGAGCAATAATCCTCTGCTGCATCATCCACCGTCCATCACCATCGTCATCTCCACCCCATCATCCAACGGCTATCGTTCCCCAGTTCCGCCATACCATCCCTAAATGACAACCGTTCACTGGCCCGCACTTCGATGATTCTTAAAAAAGTCGTCCACCAATTTGAATCTTCACTTTCATCCATCGATAATTTCTTTAATCCGTAAACCAATGCATTTTTTTCTTTCTGGAAAGAGCTTGATTGCGACGTTTTTGACAATCTGATCCATTCCTTCCACTGAGATAGATCCGTAGCGACTATTTGAAGACGAATTTCAATCCCGCAGAAACGCATTTTTGGAGAAGAAGCTCGTTTCTGTTCTGGTTTTGTGAGATTTTGTTATAGTTTTGCGAAATGAGTTCGTCTAAGACAGTGAGGAAACTCCAAGTGGAGTCTCCAGTGCCTGCGGATATAGTCATTGCCAATTCTGTGGCGCCGCTGCACATCGATGATATTGCTAAAGATCTCAACCTTAGCCCCACTCATTATGATCTTTATGGCAAATACAAGGCCAAGGTGATTCTGATTTGAGTGATTCTATGTTCTAGTTTGTTTTGATTGCCTGATTAGGAAAATGGTCGTAAAATTGTGTTGTCTTTGATGTTTGTTTAGGAAATAAAGTTGAATTGAATTGTAAGCTGTTTGGAGGGCTAAATCTGAGGGTGTAGTTATGTGTGGATTCAATTGTGTTGGTGTTTGGTTTGCAGGTATTGTTGTCTGTTCTTGATGAGCTTGAAGGATCTAAGGATGGATATTATGTGGTGGTTGGGGGGATTACTCCTACTCCTCTTGGGGAAGGCAAATCCACCACTACTGTTGGTCTCTGTCAAGCTCTTGGTGCTTTTCTTGACAAAAAGGTAATTTTCTTTCTCTTTTTAGATTGAGTTGTATGATAGCATGTTTGATTTCAATTTCAAGTAGTTTTTGTTGGTGCACCTCGACACTGCTCGATAACCATTTGGTTTTTAAAAATTAGCCTACAAATACTACTTCTACCGATGAATTTAGGTGTTTTTGTAACGTTCTAAATCCACTGCTGGCTGATATTGTCCTCTTTGGCTCATTATATATCGCCGTTAGCCTCACGGTTTTAAAATACATCTATTAGAGAGAGGTTTCCATGCCCTTATAAGTAGTGTTTCGTTCTCCTCTCCAACCAATGTGAGATTTCACACATTCTTTATAAGAGTGTGGAAATCTCTCCCTAACGAATGCGTTTTAAAACCTTGAGGGAAAGCTCGGAAGGAAAAGCCAAAAAAGGACATTAATTACTAGTGGTGAGCTTGGACTGTTACAGTTTTCTTATCTACTTTCTACTTTCTGCCTGTGTTCTAAAAAACAAAGCCAAGTTTTAAAGGAAAGGAAATTCAGAAAGCTTGTCTTTGTTTTTGGAATTTAATTAAAAATATGAAACCAAACCATTGTAAAGATGAGAAAACAAGAACAATTTCAGAACTTAAAGTAAAAACTTAAATGGTTATCAAATATGACCGTAGTTGTTAATTTCTAAGATTACAGTTCAAATTCTGCAACACAAGGAGATGAAACATTCTATTTACTGTTGAGATTTGAACTTATCACCCAATGGGGTTGTTTGGGTAAAAAGATCCTAAACTAATAATTGTATCAATTTAAACTCCGAACTTTCATGATGGTATTAGACAAATTTTGCTTAAATAATGTTCGTCTGCACATGTGCAAACTTATAATTGTTTAGGTTGATTTCAGGTGGTCACCTGCCTTCGCCAGCCATCACAGGGACCAACATTTGGAATAAAAGGTGGTGCAGCTGGAGGGGGTTACAGTCAAGTGATTCCGATGGACGAATTTAATCTCCACCTAACAGGAGATATTCATGCTATAACAGCTGCAAACAATCTTTTAGCTGCTGCTATTGATACCAGGATTTTCCATGAGTCAACACAGTCAGATAAGGCTCTTTTTAATCGCCTTTGCCCGCCGAACAAAGAAGGTAAGCGAAGCTTTAGTGATATCATGTTCAGACGTTTGAAGAAACTCAACATTGCCAAGACAAAACCAGAAGATCTGACTCCCGAAGAAGTTACGAAGTTTGCCAGGCTCGATATTGATCCAGATTCTATTACCTGGAGAAGAGTAATGGACGTAAATGATCGGTTCTTAAGGAAAATTTCTATTGGTCAGGGTCCTGATGAGAAAGGGATGGTGAGAGAAACCGGGTTCGATATTTCGGTTGCCAGTGAAATAATGGCAGTTTTGGCCCTTACGACATCACTGGCTGATATGAGAGAGAGGTTAGGGAAAATGGTAGTAGGAAACAGCAAGGCTGGTGACCCTGTAACTGCTGATGATCTCGGTGTCGGTGGCGCTTTGACCGTGCTCATGAAGGATGCTATTAACCCGACACTAATGCAGACTCTTGAGGGAACTCCTGTTCTTGTTCATGCTGGTCCTTTTGCTAATATTGCTCACGGTAATTCCTCTATAGTGGCTGATAAGATAGCTCTGAAGTTGGTAGGACCAGGGGGGTTTGTAGTCACAGAAGCAGGTTTTGGGGCCGATATTGGTGCCGAGAAATTTATGAACATCAAATGTCGCTATAGCGGTTTAACTCCACAATGTGCTGTAATTGTGGCGACGATAAGAGCGTTAAAAATGCATGGGGGCGGGCCACAAGTTGTTGCAGGGAGGCCTCTTGACCATGCCTATTTAAATGAAAATGTGAGTCTTGTAGAAGCTGGCTGTGTTAATTTGGCCAGGCATATTGCAAACACCAAGGCTTATGGTGTGAATGTAGTTGTTGCTGTGAACAAGTTTGCCACAGATACTGAAGCAGAGATGAATGCAGTCAAAAGCGCTGCTTTAGCTGCCGGGGCGTACGATGCTGTTATTTGTTCTCATCACGCTCACGGTGGAAAAGGAGCGGTAAGCCACTCGATCCCGATAATTAATAAGCTTTTATACAACCAACCCTGTAAAATGCAGAAGAAGTGATGTTGTCTTTGATGACAAATTATCATGTTCTTTTGATTGGGTAGTAGACTTTATCATGTTCTTTTGATTGGGTAGTAGACTTTATCATGTTCTTCATTCCTTAGGTCGACCTCGGAATTGCAGTTCAAAAAGCGTGTGAGAACGTAACAAAGCCATTGAATTTCTTATATCCGCTCGATGTTAGTATTAAAGACAAAATAGAAGCTATAGCCAAGTCCTATGGAGCCAGTGGGGTGGAATACTCAGAACAGGTGAGCTTTTGTTGCTATTGCTATATATTGTTCGCATGCTATCGGCTAAGAATTCGTTTGATTTGCATACCATATTTTGAATGATTGATGCAACGATATCATAGATTCTTGTTTCTTTGACTGAAATAATCCATCTAAGAACAGTAAGACAATGAACAGTAAATGGACTCCCAAATCTTAAGACAACATGTACAATTGAAGATACAAAGTTTGAGCTTCCTTGATAAAAAGAAACTAAACCCAAGTTCATCCATGTCAGTTCAGTTCAGTTCAGTTCAGTTCAACAAAATAAGGACGATCTTCAACCGTGTTGAATCGATCTTTCACTACGGGAAGCATCGGATCCTGTAGTTATTGATTTACCTTTATGTTTTCTGGTATGAATCTCTTTGCCCGCGAATCCTGCTAGTTCTTGGGCCGTCCAACCCCTATCAAAACTCCAATCAACAACTGAGGGCGACTCAAGAGGCGCTGCTAGAGGAGCCAGAGGGCCAAGCGGCTAAATTTCTCCAAAAATCCTATTATTCCTCTTGGGGAAAGACTTTGATCCTAGTTGTAAGGCTCGGATATGGTGCCATCATTACTGAAAAAACTTAAAAAACTTAAAAAACTTAAAAAACTGAACATTAAATTAGTTAAAACGCCGATCTCCTAGCATTTCCTTCTGCAGTGTTGAGAATACAATTGGTTGATGTGAAAGAGTTTATGTCTGTATAGAAACACTGATAAGAAACTGAAAAATGTTTACTGTTTGAATCAACAGGCGGAGAAACAGATTGAGATGTACAGTAGGCAAGGATTTTCAAATCTACCAATCTGCATGGCAAAAACACAATACTCCTTCTCACACGATGCTGCAGCAAAGGGAGCGCCGAGCGGATTCAAGTTGCCGATAAGGGACGTGAGGGCTAGCATTGGTGCCGGCTTCATTTACCCTTTGGTGGGAACCATGAGTACAATGCCAGGGCTCCCTACAAGACCTTGCTTTTACGACATCGATCTCGACACCGCTACCGGGAAGGTCATCGGTCTTTCTTGAACGAGCCTTCCTCCCAAGCAGTTGCCTCGCCATCTTTCTGGTAAAAGTTCTTGTCCAAGTACATGTTTTTTTTGTTTAGTTTTCTCAACTGTTGTTATTCCGGTCTATCCTGTAATGCAACTTTTGCTGAACTTTGAACAGTCTGAAGTTATATGTCCTAAATAAAGTGGAAGGAGGGAAATAATGTGTGTGTGTTGTAGGGTGTATTTCCCTTCCTTTGTTTAGAATATATCTATTTTGATGGAGAATAATAGAAAGAGCCATTTTCAAATTGGTGGTAGATCCTTCCTTTTAGACCTTATGCCTTTATACACTACATATTCTTTTTTGACCTGTAACACTTTTGTCTAATATAAACTATCATGCCCAACTTAAGATAATTAAAATCAAAGTTACATACGGAATAATATCAAAGTTACATACGGAATAATAAAGTTCGGGAAAGTTACTTTTTTGGTCAAGGTTCGATTTATCCCTCATGTTTGAAAACATACCTTGGTCCTTAGTTTAAAACCATACATTCTAAACCATACATTTGTAGTCCATGAATGTTGAGAAGTAGGGTTGTATCGGGTTGTAATATATTAGCTTAAGATCAAAAGAATCCATTGTTGTCAGAACTTCACAATTTGATATAACCACTTGTGTCATTTCTCTTAGCTTAGTCCAAAGCTCTAGCTAATCAGGAGCTTGGTACACTAGGGTGGTCACGATATGATTCTCTTAATAATTACTAGATACTTCTAAAATAGAGCTGGAAAAAAATCCAAAATTACTATCAACCATACAAGAATGACTAGTTTATTAGCCTTAATTCCCATGCTTAAATTATTCCCTATCAAACTGAACGTGGGATCAAAATCCTGACTCGAAAGGACGACCACCGAGATAAACAAACTAAACAAAAAAAAAAGGGCATAGGAGCTCGCCCAACTCAAGGGTCTCCCTGAAAATAGTGAAAGTAGAAACACCAAATTCTTACGTCATCAAAGGCCACTTAATTTTCTTTCTTGAAAAAAAGAAAGAAAAAAAAAGGGGTATGAATTTTGGCAATTCTATTGGCAACCTTTTTTCTGTTATTATACTCAATAAATTCTCCATTTGAAGACAAAGGAATGGAAGCAGCAGTTTACAATCGTGTTCTGCTAAATCCTCCATTTCATTGCTCATATGAAACATTCATATTCAAAATGAACATTACAACACAGTACCTACTACATGCTACAGAAACGTTCGTATGAACGGCAACTTAATTGACAATAATACACATAAAATCAATAATCCAAACCAGACAAAAAAAATGCTTACTGAAAAACAAATAAAATTAAGAGGCTATAACCATTATCTCTGTTAATTAACTACACTGCTGCTAATAAGTCGTGAATAATTTTAAAAAGCGCTCTTGTGACGCGACGAAGATAAAGTGGCACGGCCTCACATCTTGTCTCATCATAGGGCAGTGTTGGGATTGTTTCCAGCAAGAATTAGTGAGATCTCGAGCCCTCGACTGAAAGCCTGGTTGAACATAAGACGAGTTTGGAATGTCGATACAAATGGAAACCACGAAAGAAGTGCAATGGGGATAAAGACAAGCATCCCCATCCCGGCATCATACAGACGAGCGATTGAGCGGATGGATTTCCAGAGTCCCAGTCTCTTTATCACAGGTTTCCAAGCTGCTGCAATCTGAAACAGGAAATGTTCTTATGTCAGGATAGAGTGCTAAATTTTACAAAACTAGGGAAAAGTCATTATCTTTTAATTCCTCCTATCAACCAGAGTGTACGTACAAGTATATTTTCAAAAAGAAGAAAGAAGAAAAAAAGAAAAAAAGAAAAAAAGAAAAAAGAGGTGTTGCAAGTCTAAATTAGATAATGTTGCAAGTCTAATATATTTTTAGAAAATAACATATCCCTTTTTACAAGAGAGAAAGGCTAACTAAATCATAATGATAATCTAAATACTCTAGATACTCCATACCAGTAATCTAAATAAATCCCTAGATATTAGTTAACCAACCATATAAATTAGAGCGGTTCCCTTATTTAATAGAATTCCATAAATATCCTTCAATGTATATATATGTGTGTGCGCGCGCGCGCAGTAAAACGATAGGACAACTAGACTCGGGAACTTACAGAAAGAATGCCCCATCCTGTAGGTACAAATGCCAAGATGCAAGCGAATACATCAGGCAGTGTCAAGTCTGTAATAGCGACCGCAACGGCCAGGCCAGCCAACGTCAAAAGGAAAGATAGACCTTGGATAAAACGCAACAAAAGCTGGAAATTGACAGTCATCTTCTGGCTAAAGGTAAAAACCTGCAGAACAGAGAGACGTGGAGTTCTAATGACTATCATGCATATTGGAAAACACAAAGGAAACCAGTCGAGTTGATAGCACAAACCTTGAAAAGAACTATAAGCCCAGCTAACACAATCCAGGAGAACCCATATACCTAAAGAGTTGCACATTTTGGAGATTACAACAAGTTAATAACAAAGAAAAGATGGCCTTTAAACTACTTGATGACTACAAAATATAATAACATCAAACTGCTGCTCATAATTTTTTTTAACTTTGGCATCCAATATTGGTAAGAATAGATAAGAAAGTGGAAAAATGTATTTCATAGAGAGACCATACCGACAATGATGTGTTTGATCCTTGCACATTGAGCTTGTAAACAATGCCATATTGAAAAATAAAAAATCTTAGATTCAGAATAGTCTCCGCTATCCGCCCTTCAAGAGTTTTTATATGTGCCTGCAGATTGTAAAAGCACTTTACATTTTGACCAGAAAAGAATGACCCAGTCCAGCATAGGTTTACCAAAATGTACTTATCTGGTTCATTGAATAGCCTTTATACAGGAAACATTTCATGGTAACTAACAACATAATCTATCAACACATGAGGTAACATAAATCCATATCGGTAATTCTGTTTTGCCCCTACCATAACATTGTTGCATTGAGAGGGAACTGATATTATTATTAAGTACAGACCTAACGAGCATTGCATTAAAGTTCATATAAAAAAAAAAAAAGAAAAAGAAATAATAAATAAGTACATAGAAAATTGAATTACCAGTTCTGAGTCCCACCATGCTTCCCAGCTTTCTTCACCCTTAACACCAATTCCACCACGGTAAAAAAGCCAATTGGTCCATTCTCTGAAGTCCTCCACGGTCCTAAACGGAAACATAGGTAATTAGATTAAGATTATTTTTATCTGGAAGATTCAGAAGCTGTCATCTCCTTTACACGCTAATAAGAAAAGACCTTCAAGGTGCCAAATTAAGGAAGAAACCGACGGAATGGTGAATATGACTTACTTCTGCCATTCAAACCCCGATGGATTGAACAAATAGGGAGCAAAAAGCCACGATATTGCCATGAACCAACTGCTAAGAGTGACAAGGATGTATGCTAACGAACCACCTGAACTATATCCGTAGGCCATGTATACAACCAACAGGAGCACAACTTCCAATCTGAAAATACAATAATGTAGATAAATTAATTATACTAAAACGATATTAGACACCATAGATTTGAACTTAGATTCAATTTGGTTGGGTTATGAAAGTTCAATTAGTCTCTATAGTTTGGTCAGATCACACAGATTCACTTTCTATATGAATACGTGCCATATTTTCTGTGTGAAACGAGCTGGTACTATCTAATTCGTCAAACTGTGGTCACAAATTATAGTCTAGTAGATTACAAGACAGCTCCTATAGGATAATTGTCGCACGTTACAACATTTGAAAACTAGTATAATACTCAATCTCCTCAATAAACTATCATGATGTAGACCCCAGTATCTCAACATATTTGGGTTTATAGCTGGTTGCAATGACAACTTAAATAACTTAAAATAAGTTTTTTTAGATTTTAATTTTGATCTTGTCAAGTAAAGGATGGTGCCAATAGCACTACCCATAAGCTTAAGACAGAGTAATTTACACAAACAGCAGAGTTCAAATACTACATTAGAAAATTTTCATGTGAGAAGAGAAAGAATGACACAAACCCTTTAACAAAATGGCTGCGAGAGTACAGTCTGTAATTTTCTGAGAATTTGATATGGCGAACCACAAAGCCCCTTCCAGTTGCATGATACTGTATAGAAGTAGAGTTCTTGAGATACTATATGGCAATCTTGGAGATTGACAAAGGAGCAGCAAAAATAGCAGAACAAACCTTTGCACCACCATGAAGAATTGTTCGGCCAAAATAGTGAGTTTTTGTGCCAAGAGAGAATGTGAAGTAGACAGAACAAAGCTGAAGCTGCATGGTTATAAAGCTGACAACAGCCTGCAACCGTAATTCAGAATAATATCTGAGAGAAAATAAAAGACTGCTAAAAAAGAAGATAACTAATTAATGGTCTCGTTGACAAGAGGACCGCTTGCACTTGCTCTAGCATACGACAAACAAGGGTGCTTCATTGGGCCAAAAAGCACTTACTGTTATAGTTGAAGCTAATCTTCAGATTAGAGAGAGAGAAATGACAATGATATCATCATGTTAATGTTCAGATTATCCAAGACCAGTCAATTTTTTTTTTCTTCCTACAAAAGTGTACATATTTCAGAACAGCATTTACCCTGAAGAAACCTTGCTCCAAAATAAATCCCAAGATCATCGGCACTGCAGTGAAGATACCAATTTGGATAAGGAACTGTGTATTCAAAGCAGCTGACAATGCAGTATTATCTGTAATATTGGCTCTATCTTCAATGCCCTCGCCAACTCCAGACAGTGCCTGAAACACAGCCGCACATCTTTTCAGTATATTATTTTCTGAAAAAGAGGAAATATTTCCATACAAACATGTAAACTAGTCGTAGTTAGGGGTACAAGTTGAAACCCAAAAACCGAAAAGACCAAATCCAATTTTCAAAACAGTGGTTCCAGAATCAATTTTGACCAAAAGACAATCCAATCTGACCCACGCCCCTAGTCAGAGTTAAGTCCAGCATCACATTCGTAAACAAGCATAAGAAAAGAGTACATCAGATCTAAAAACAAATGAAAAATAAGCAATTAAAGAAAATTAACCCGGTAAACATTGAAGCCTACTACTTGACCAACTCCACTGGAATTCACCTTAACTGTATCAATCGAGTAGTTTTAGTGCCTCTGGGATTTATCAAGCAAACTTAAAACTTTTGATTATAGGGGCATAGAACTACTTCCAAACAATCCTCGTGAAGCTTATGACCACATTATCAAGAAAATTTTAAATTTACATCCCACTACAAAGCAGAGA